CCCCCCCCCCCCAAAAAAAAAAGCGTATTATTGGTAATTGTAGCCCCCGAATTAGGCACCGGCTGCCCTGCACCCTAAACCCTGCTTGCGTCAATCCTGAGCCCAAACCCTAAAACCAAATGGGTTTAGGGTTTAGGGTTTACAACATCCTACCAAACATGTAAAAGCCCGGAAAAGAAGCATGCGGGCAATTATCAGCATGTAAGGGCTTGGCATTCTAACTACGGTCACTGTGCGCAGCCTTGGCTGTATATGGGTTAAGCTTCCGTGCAACAGGCAAACGTATGTATCAAGAACGCGGCACTGCTCCGTCTGCAATTGCAGGGACAAAGAAACACAGGTCCCCGCAAAACGGAACGGAGAAGGATGGCTGACAACAACGATCTGACGGACGTCCATTCCGCAGGGCTCCGGTTGCCTAAACCACGGGCAAGTGAGGCACATAATATATGGTTAGTAACCTGTTACTTAGGCAACTGGAGCCCCAGGGCATTGACATCCTTACACAAACAACCTATCCACCTCAACAGACTCAAGCACAAAATCGAACCAGGGCCTCAAAAGGCCCATGGACAAAAAGTTCTCAACCCCTCAGTTCGTCTCTTGAAGGCGTTGCATCAAGAGCACATGCTGCCACGACCGTTTGCATTGCAATCACTCATTCTTCTCGCGGGTGGAGTGCTTGCCGACGGCTTTTGTATGCTAGGCCCTCTTCTGCGGCTCTGTGCCATTGCAAGGCATCGGTGTCACCTGGCTCGCAGTTTACGGCTCCCTGGACAGATTAGATCCCCCGGCTAATTTTAAGCTTTCTCTCAAGTCCTAAACCCTCAGCCATAAAATGCCACCTGTAACAGCTTATCTCAAACCATAAACCCCAAAATGCTGCCACCTCTCACAGCTTATCTCAAACGCAAAACCCCGAACCCTAAACCCCAAACCCTAGCCACAAATCCTAAACCCCAAACCCTAAACCCCAAACCCCAAACCCTAAACCCTAAAATGCCACCCAGCCACGGTTCCCCGTCAACTTCAGAACCCTGGAGCTGTCATCCCGAAGCTCCTGGAAACATCCCAGGGCTTTCCAGCACTTGGCCTTAGTTGGGTTTAGGGTTTTTTGTTGGGTTTAGGGTTTGGGGTTTTAGGGTTTAGGGTTTGAGGCTTTGGGGTTTAGGGTTTGGGGTTTGGCGTGTAGGTTTGGGATTTAACCAATCAAGACCGGGACATCAGCTGCAGCATACTTCTCAACACACAAACACTGGGACAAGGATTTCATAAACAATGAACATGAATCAACAAAGCAAGAAGGGCTTTCTCAACACGAACCAGGTGGCGCGTGACTTGATGATGTCCGTCTCCAGGTCGAGATCCACGGCGCGTGCTGACGAGCAGGCATTGAGGGCCTCTGAGAAAAGGCCTGCGGCTGCCTTGAACCTCCCAGCCTTTACCATCTGGTTTCCGCGCTCGATGTATTCATGGATGTCAACTGGTTCCCCATCGTTGGGGATAGTCGGATCGGAACCCAATTCCTTCAAGGAACCCACCTGCTGAAGCAGCGTAGGGTGCTGCAGGTCTATTTCGCTCGTCTCGCGATTGAAGGTGCCCACAATGTCTTCGGTTTCCGGATCCAAAAGGCGCTGGTCTGGGAGTAGGATGTACCTGTGTAGCCCCAGGGGCCTCCGACAACACCCTAATTCGTAGCGTACTTCCCCTTCAAAATGCCTTCACTCCTAGAGCGCGCAACATAAAAAACTCTAAACCCTAAACCCTAAACCCGTAAACCCTAAACCCTGAATTGAGCCACAGCTACGTCCGACCCAGGTAGGAGATGGCAGGGTAAGGGCAGCCGGGCATCATTCCGGCAGCCGGGTCCAGTCGCTGAGTGTCGGGATTCCAAATACCCATGGGAATCCTGGCTTCTCATGTCGGATTCGGCTGGGATCAGGTTTAGGACTGTCCTATATGTATAGGATGAACGAGGACCAAAACACGTTGAACATTGGTATTGCAAACACTTCTACCGACAACATGGCTCAGCATCGGCTACTGAGCTACTGCACATCTAACAGGGGCCTCCATGCCTCAAAAAGGACTTTGGATCTTAGACTCTGATGACCTAGGGGCTCTAAGGGAGTCCTCCGTTAACACGAACCCTACACAGCTAAGAATCTGGTTCGGCGGATCAAACATGACGCCATTTGGCGCCATGGTGTACATCTTGCCTTTGTACTCGAAGGGCTTGGTCCCTTCGAAGGCCGGGTCGAAGGCACCGTAGCCTTGATTTCCACAGAAAGCTTCTTCCTTTAAACCCTAAACCCTTAAAGCCCGAAATCCTACACTCCTCTATAGAAATAAACACATAATATGAAAACATAGACATGTGAAGAGACATACATACAGAACTCTCTCTCTCTCTCTATATATATATATATCCCTCTGTTCTGTCTACACATTTGTGTGTCCATCTGTCTATCTGTCTGTCTATCGTCTGTTATCTATCTATCTATCTATCTATCTATCTATCCAGCTATCTATCTTTGTATCTACAGATATCTAGATCTATACCTATCTCTAGAGATTCAAAAACATAACTATTGTTCTATCTGTATCTTTATCTGACTATCTATCTATCTATCGATCGATCTATCGATCAATCGATCAATCGATCTATCTCTCTCTCTATATATATATATACCAAACATCTTCTCATACCGAATATCTACCTATCTATCTACCTATCTATCTCGTCTATCTATCCATCTTTCTACCTGCCTACATGTGCACATTCCTTGCCCAAAAGCCTAAACCCTACAACCCCAGGTCCGACACCGTTGACAAATGGGGGGGGTTTCCGAAGATAGGGGACCCTAATATAAATAGGAACCTTATTATAAGGACCCCAAAATAAGGTACCCCTTATAACATAGTACTCTCTAAAGAATAGGATCCTTATTATAAGGACCCCAAAATATAAAGTACACCTTATAATATAGTACTCTCTAAAGAATAGGATCCTTATTATAAGGACCCCAAAATAAGGAACCCCCTATTTCTCGGAAACTCCCAAATCCAAGGCCCTGCGGCCTTGCTGTCCCCCGGACTTGCCGTTCATGAAGCCCTGGCGTAGTCCCTGGGAGAAGGCTTGCGACGTAGCCTGCGATAACCAGAGGGGAAGACGCATCATGTAAGAACAATTTATAGTTGGAGCAGGGCTTTGGGCATAATCTACTATGACTGGACTTGGAAGCCTAAGGAATACTATGGCTGATTCTTCGGGACCCGCATAGTACAGTACAGTAGCACCGGAGTACTAGCAGGAACCTTAGCGCAGGACCTGCCCGGCCTGCTGCTCCGCGTAGTAGTCATCTTCTTCCTGGTCTCCCTGGATGCCTGGCAGGGTTTAGGGTTAAGGGTTTAGGGTTTAGGTCAGGTTGGGGGGATTTCGGAGGTCGCAAGTGAATCGTTGAAAAGTTCAGGAACAAGGCTTTTGTTTTACGATGCCTGGCAGTGGGGGCACACGAGAGGACAGCTTGAATCCAGAGATGAGCTCCCGAAGCCAGCCCTCGCCGGTCTTGGACTTCTTCTCTAGGACATGGGCGAAAATACGCTGACGCATCCATGTCTCTGTCTTGAGAAGGTCCTCTCCAACAAGATATCCCTCCGAGACGAGGTACTCCTTCTTGCTGCCGTGCTCTTGCCACAGGGCTTTGGCCTCTGCGACCGTCAACTCTTCCAGCTCCTTGAGGGCCTGAACCTCCTTCCCACTCAGGCCCATGGAGCGTCCTGTCCCTGGTCCGGCTCTGGCCTTACTTGGCGAGCTGACGAGAGAATTTCGGAAACCCCCAAGAGACCAAAATAATACAGTGATTACATGTTACCCTAAACCCTATAAACCCTAAACAACGATTGGGAGAATGAAAGCAGGACTGCTACCGTGCGACTGCAAGACCCCGAGAAGCACATGGCCTTGTCCACTAACCTGCATTCTCCTCCATTTTTTTGGGGGGGAGTTCAGCAATGCGCTCCTGTCCCTAAACCCCGAAGGTCGAGGGTGTCCCTCCAGGACCTCAGGGCGGTCTTGGAAGCCTGTTAGGTTCCGGATCTTCCTTGATGGTAACGGTCTAGCATTCAAGCTCACCTCCTGAACCCTGAGGGCTATTGCACAACTCACCCCATGAGCCCCTGAACCCTAACAGCATCAAACCCCCCCTGCCCCCGCCAACCACAATCTCCGAAAACTCTCACACCCCGTAGAAACCTGCAGATCCCCAAACCCCAAAAACACGCTGCAAAGACACTACAACCCCCCAAAAAACAAGGCTAAACGCTAAAGTTTATAGGGGTTATAATCTTTAGAGCTCTCTGTCCTAATACGCAAACCCTGAAAGCTTCAACGCTGAGAAGTTGCAGCCGCCCAGGCGTCGCAAAGAGCCCACAGGTCGATATCGTTCATGCGCCTGCACGCGCGGGAGAGAGTCTCGTTCAATGTAGAGGCTTCTGCTACAGGCACAGGGCTCTGAGGCGGGGGAGGGGGTTGTTATGGTAGCAGAACCGTCTGTGGACAAAATGAGTGATATTGCTACCAAGCCTTTCCACGTCTACATTGCAGCTGTCGGGCTTCAGGGGGTTTAGTGGTGTTGAGGGCTTGGGGTGTGTCGCGCCTTCGGCGCCGGAGGAGCTCGCCCCAGTCGGAGTCGCTCGCCAGCACCCAGCCCTCCTGGGATAGGAGGCGCGAATGACGGTGATCTACTCTGGTCCAGCTGGATAAGACAAGCCTAGGGATCCACATGCCCACAAAGTCTATGCATAGTTACGCCGGCTTTACATTCAACCTAGTTCCCTTTGAGATACTGTGCGATTACAGTGTATACTGCATGGCTACGTGGATCCGCAAGGAAAATAGGGGCCACAATGCCAGGATATTGAGAATAAGTATCGTAGAGACATACTGGGGAAACCTAAGGAATATCATTGCAGAATACTCAAGCCCCGAAATCTACCCACAAGAACAAAGGATGCCAACAGATGAACCAGCTGCGGGCTTGCCGGAGAGCTTTAGCCAACCATCAAAGTTCTGAGTATGGGCGAAGACAAACTCACCGCACTTCAGCGTTGCCACCGTCTTTGCCCTTCGGTTTGGTGCCTCCCTGACCGGGACACCGGTCTTGAAGACGACTTCAAGGCACACCATACCCTGCGGCTGGTAGACCTGGCCAGTATTAAACCAAGACCACTTTGAGGGCTTCACCCTGTAATTATGGGGTCATCGACCGCAGAAGGCAAAGGTTACAACCTCAACTACCAAGAGGCGGGCACAGCCAGCTCCAGCATCGGCTCGGTTTCAAGTGGCGCTGCAACCTCTCCGATGTCCTGCACGCCTCGGAGGTGAGCTGCTAACCAGCCCGGCTCGTTTTCAAGCTTCAACCAGCCATTCATCGTCATCTCGGAGACGAGAAACCTGCTTCCCTTGGACTTCTTGGTCTTAAGCTTCGCATCCATGTGCGGCTCAGCCTTTACCGTTCCCGTCTTCGCGAGGATCTCGTAGGTCCGGTTCTGGCTTTCCTCTTGGCCTCCTTGGCCATTCTTGGTTTCTTGCTTCTGCTGGGCATCTGAGTTGCCCCAGGCGAATGCTTTCCTACTGAACTGTGTCTGTGATGAGAACGAGCTCGGCGCCGGCCCCCGCATGGCTCTTCGGGCTTCCCGTGCTGCTGCACAGGGTTTTGTCTACTCTCGAACGTCGGCACAAGGTCTGTGTCTGGATTGTGCGACTGCTGACGATGTCGTGTGCACATGCAGAAAACAGAGGTTTTGCGATGTTGGGATGCAGTATGCGCCAGTCCTGAAAACTTAGACTTGTCGCGCTTGATCGCGAAACCTCTTGGCTCGGCCGGGTGGTTGCGCATGAAGATCTATACTTCCGCTCATCAGATTGAGCTCAAAATGGCTGGATCTTTGCTCTCCACACAAGGCCCAGGCCTTCGATATGATTCAAAACAAAACCCCTAAAAACCCAGAAACCCTAAAGAGAAAACCTGCCATGAATCCATGGCCTTTATTGAAACCAGCGAAGCCCGAATCATGAGGTCCGGACAAAATGCTCCAGAAATCTTCGGCAAGGACACGACTCCACGGGAACCTAAATCCAAGCACCCTGAAGCACAAGGCCCGCGGGTTTGGGATGAGGGGTTGAAGTTTAGGGTCCGTGAGTATACTATACAAGACCTTATGCTCGAACCCTCAGCCTAGTCTTAAGCCCTGAAACAAAAAAACCCAAGCACCTGAACTCTACACCCGAAGGCCAGGAGCCTGTGCCCCACTCGGGCTTAGGGCTTGGAGGGTTTCTATAGGCTTGAAGGCTCATCTAACACATGGGCCTTAATAATTTTAATAGGGTTTGGGGGGCCATTCTGTTAGAATTATATTTAGAACAGGGTTTTGGGGCCATTATACTACAATAAGGTTCGGGGGCCATTATACTACAATTATAACTAGAATAGCGTTTCGGGGCCATTATACTACAATTATATTAAGGTCTTAAGTCTAAGACGTTGGGGTAGTTGGCAGATTGAGGTAACCGGTCACTTGCAGACGTGCCACAGCGAGTTCGCTCCTGCTTTGCCACGGCCAGGAGCAGGCACGACTGTTCAGGGAAGGCTTTGGGTTTTGGGTTCGGGGGCTGGGCCGGGGACCCCTAAGCCACAAGCACCAAACCCTGGGTTTTTGTCCAGGACTGCGGTGATTCTGCCTGAGGTGGCGCAGTTTCGGGATGTTAGGGTGGTAAGCTTCCTTACATTCTGTTGACCACTCCGGCAGAAAAGTGGTTTAGGGTTTAGGGTTTAGGGCCCTGAAAGGTCCAAAGGTCAACCTGACATGAGCTCGCCAGATTTCCCAGGAGCAAAGCAGAGGGAAGCCTCCGAATGCCCAAAGAGCCTCAATTGAGGAACATCTGGGAGTTTCCGACAATAGGTATAGTACCCGAATTAAATAGCATCCCTACTATAAGGACCCCAAAATACGGTACCCTAATTTTCTGAAACTCCCATCTGAAATAATGACTAAACGTCGAGAACGGTGTGAAGTATATTCAGTCATAGGGGTATTCAGCTCTCTCGGTACCCCACGGCATCCACGTGCGAGTTGCGAGGTTGATGCGCTCGTGACCGCTTGTGTCGACACTTGCGGGCTTATGATTGTAATGGTCTTGGGTCTCGGAATTCCTATACTGGGATCCAGCTCCGCAACCAGGAATCCCTAAACCCCGAGAGCCTTAAACTCTCTCTCTCTCTCTCTCTCCCACCAGGCATTTAAGGCTCGATCCATGAAGGTACAGGGCGCAATACCAGCACTTCTCTTCAGGACACGAAACTCCTCTTGAGCATTCCGAACCGCACATGATCAAAACATGTGCATCTGGAGCCAGACAGTCCCTAACCAAACTACTAGGCCCAAAAGCCCTAAAACTAACCCTAACCCCCCCAGGTACCTACTATATTGCCCCTAAGGCCCTATATAGCAGGTACCTGGAGGATTAGGGTAAACCACCAAAACCCTAGTCCCCGAAACAAATCCACAGCATGGATTGTCCGATCGTGAAGATGTAGCTCAAACCGTTGGAACGACCTTCAAACTTCCTTTATGACATGCCATGCCTCCATATAGTTTAGGGTTTAGGGTTTAGGGTTTAGAATACTAGTCAAATCACCTCCGAAAGCCTCGAACAGCAAACAGCGGTGTAAACAAAACCAAGGACCCCCTCAAAACAGCCCTATTCCTAAACCCGTAAACCCCTAAGCCCTAAAGCCCTGAACTCGTAAACCCCAAACCCCTACACCCTAAACACTAAACCCCTAAACAGACAGAGAGTCCTTAGCTGGCCTGGAGCACTAGCCACGGCGACGACGTCGCCAGCCAGGGCAAGAGCGTGACCCAGCCCCGGGAGGGAGATCTTCATCACCTGCTTGTTTTTTGGGGGTTTAGGGTTTAGGGTTTAGGGGTTTGGGGTTTAGGGATTAGGGTTTAGGGGTTTAGGGTTTACGATCTCGGGTTAAGGGTTTTGGGGTTTTAGGGGCTTAGGGTGTACGGTTTAAGGTTTTGAGACTATCCGTGCGATAGTGGGGACCTAAAAAGGGACCCTCTTTTAGAGAACTATCCAAATACCAAATAATGTATGGGCATTAAGAATTAGAATAGGGTCATGGGGTATAATACTATACTATACTTATAATGAGGAACCCCCCAAAATATTCTTAAGGACAGGAGTAGCCCATGAGACCTACCCTATCAGGGTTCCCTATTATATGGTTTCGTTTATAGCTCCTTTAAGAAGGTATATATGTCTTTTGGGCCACAGGTATACGATCAGCATCATTCTTGCTCTTGTATAACTAGCCACGCGCATCTTAATTATGGGTGCCTGCCACCCTAAACCCTAAACCTTAACCTTGAGGTCTTAGGGTTTAGGGCGCTGAGGTTGGTAAGGTCATCGCCTGCTGGGGGTTTAGGCGTGGGTTTAAGGTGTCAGGTGTAGGGTACATCATAGAAACATGGACACTTAGGATAGGAAGCAGTGTAGAAGTTGCAATGGGCATTGCAATAGTAGTGCTAGTGACCTTGCAATAGTCTTCAGCACTGAGATATACGGTTCCACTTTTGAGTCCATCACAAGCTACCCGGATGAAGGTACTGTATGCTGGACACAGGCGCACGCATCTTCTGTATCACCACCTGCTTTCTGCATTAAAGCTTAATAATAACACTCTTAGATACTACTGATTGTTTGCTGTTGTTCTATAGCGGCATGTTTGCGACCGCTGTGACAAATACGTCGCCAAAGCTCAAACTACCCCAGCCCCAAATACAAGCAAGCCAGAAACTCCAAACCTCAAACCCTGACATGTCCACTGCAGGGCACGGAAGGGTGTCAGGATTCGTTGAAGGTGCAGGGCGGTGGGTGGAGGGTTTGGGGACAGGGCTTGAGATGCATGCCAACAACTCAGGATGTAATGGATGCTATAAGACTATAAGGTAATCTAGCATATTATGTTTTGGTATACTACATATATTCAAACGCTCATAATATACCCTTTGACATTTCCTATTTTATCTTATCTACGCCTTCAGAGAGTGGATTTCGCGGCGAGGGCTTTTGGCTGCATGCTGCCTCAGTCCTGTAAGATGCAGCCTAAGCTTAACTTCAACCCTTAGGACTTTGGGTACACCCATTTGAAGACTGGTAAGGAACCCTACCTCTAGTCTCCATGGTGGCTCCTGTTTTGGTGAGCCAAATCTAGATTATGGGATCCTTACAATAAAGTTGGCGAGCCAAAAAAGGAACTACAACGGAGACTAAAGGTAAACCCTAATAGCCTCAAAACTTCTATAACCCCTATACACCCTACAAACCAAGACCCTAAACCCTAAACCCTAAACCCTAAACCCAGATGGTGGCCTCTTGCTGAAGCGCGCCCTGCCAGAGAACCACGGAAAGGTAGGCATGAAGCGAGGCGCCTAAGCCCGGACGTTCTTTCTAGGACTCGGTCCACAGACAATTTTTCAAGGGGTTGCAAATTCACACGGTTTTTTAAGTCTAGAAGGGCTGAGGGTTTAGGGGATTACACTCTCACAACTCGGACAAGCCAGGCGAGGGTTCATAGGTGCAAAGTCGGCGTGACACAATGAGTTGTCTATGCCTAGGGGTTTAGGGTTTTTGGGGTTTCGGCTTCTGGGATCCACGGTCTTGGGCTAGAGGGTCCAGGGTTCAGATAAGGCCGGCTCTCAGCAATGGCTCAGGGTGTGTTTCATGCAAACTGGAATCTCAAAACCCTAAACCCTGCACCCTACCTCTACTCTCAGTTGATTCCTTCTCTGGATCACCTTGTAGGATCCTACGCTTAAACCCAACAAAGGAACTAGAAGCGAGACTATAGCTAAACTCCCGTCTGCAGCATCCTTCCCGCTTAAATTAAGGGATATGGAGCCCATAGGACACGAGAGAGCGCATTGCAATTCCCGAGACCAGTCATCACACCCTAGACTTTCAAGCTCAGTTAAGTCAACACTGGCATAGTGTTCGGTAGACCGTATAGGTAAACCTTATACCCATAATCCAGTAACATACTACATATTTTGACTACATATACGCAACTGGCACAGGGTTTGATAATACTCGGATGTGAGCAAACAATGTAATAACGGCGCCTCCATAAGTAGAATACTCTAAGGGCCCTAAGTGTTTGAATGGGGTTTTGGGGCCCATTATGCTATAATCATAATAAGGAATCCCAAGAACAGTATAGGTAATTCCTGCCACGAGGGTCCATAATATACTATTGATGATTAGGATGGTCTTTTGGGGCCTATAGTTCCATAATGGCAGTGTATACGGACCCTCTGAGTTAAGGCCCCTATATTATCAAGGTTTTGTGTCGACCTTCGGCCCTGAATCGGGGGCCCCGACACTTCTCCGCTTCCCCAAACATCCCCGTCATCCTACCATGCCCCAGGTTGCACCTTACTATAAGGCTTGAGGGATGCTGGTTTTTCGAAGATTTTTTGGGGTTTAAGGCTTATAATTTTGTAGGGTTTTGGCTTGATGCTGCTTTTCTAGGTGTTTCTGTTGCAGATCGAACCCCGCACGAAGCGATGCCAAAGTGCAAAGATCGCCATGACCTGCCAAAGCCAGCACA